AAAGAATTCGCGCCACTTTCATCCAATCAGAAGTAAAACTAAAGCAATCGTGAGCCGCTCGCATTCGTTTTCCGGCGCTTAACGCTGGCTACATGTAATTACTTCGAGTTTTAATTGGCTCGCTGTATTGTCTGTGTCCTTTGTGTTCGGCTAGAGTGATTACGTTGGTTTTGGTTTTACGACACCCAATTCAACACCGCTCTAATAGACTTCAAACATGTAGTTTCTGTTTAGTTCTCACAAGTTAGAATTTTCTTGTAAGCGTGTCGGAAACGTTTTTGCATCACCCCGTAGATTACGGGGTTGATAGCGGAACTTGCTGCGCCAGCAAAAGGCATTATGAGGTAAACCTGACGAGGCAAGCTGTATTCTCCTTGTAGAGTGTCCAGAAATTCAATTGTAAAAGCAGGACTCCAGCATATCACGAACGCGATTAGTACAGCGAATAGAATTTTCGTGATTTGGACCTCCTCTGCAAAAGATTTAGCGTTGTCCTCATGGAGACTGGAAGCTGCAATTTGTGCAAAATGGGAGTGAACTTTACGAAACACTTTGAAGTAGCAAAATGTTATCACCGGATAAGTCATGGCAATTAAAACTGAGTAAGGTCCAAGAAGAAGGGCTTGCTCCTTCTTGTTCAGGCTCTTGCAAACAAAGCATGCTAGTTTTCCGGGATGGTAACAGAACTTCTGCGACACAAATGGAATTACAAACACTCCTGAAAAGACTGCGCATGCCGTGATAGATAAAAGCACGTAATTTCGCGTGTACGCTTTCTGGTAGATAATTACCGACCGGATCATTTTCACGTAACGATTTATGGCGATAAGCGTCAACGTCAGAATCGAAAAGCATGCGAAGAAATAAGTTAATATGCCTTGGATCTGACAGAGCGTATCCCCAAATGGCCATCTTCCTAGCATCACCACGATCAAGCCCATTGGAAGACAAAGAACCGTCAGCAGCAAGTCTGACATCGTTAAAGCGATGATGTAGTAATTTTGAATTTTACGGAGCGCGCGACATCTGTAAAGAGCCAAACTGAGAATTGTGTTCCCTATCAATGCCAAGAAAACGATAGCGAACGCGCCAGTGGACTCTGCAACAATCGTCCATGTTTCCCTGTTCTCGAGTGCCTCCTCTATGCTTCGTTTTCTCTGTAAACTATCAGGCATTCTCAGCTCTTAAGTAAAGAGACTTTGGTTTCTTGGTGCTCTTTTCAAATTGTAATCAATAAACTCGTCCTTTCATATCCCGATCTGCTCTCCACGTCTCAATCTTATTGCGTTAATAAAGACGTCACAGCGTTTTACATATTACGATATCTCTACCTTGACACTTATTTGCAGTTTTTCACAAAGTCTTAATTTAATTTTTAATAACTAGAGCACAGTAAGTAGACATATTTAGGCAGCTGTCTGGCTAAAATAAATTTCCAAGAGGCCTGCATGTCAAAAACTACGTCAAACTTGTACAGAAAAAAAATTGCAATAGAAATTGTAAGTTGAAACTGCTCTTTCCTTGAATAATTATTTGCGGCTATGTGCGTGATTGATAAAAACCAATACAATTTTTTTTGCGTGGGTATTACCGTTAATACAAGATGTTACCTTTGGCATTCTTGTTGATTTGGGTCTTGGAAGCATGCGTTCAGGAGAAAACTACGTGTTAACTGCCTTTTAAGTGATATAATTTATCATGCAATGGACATTTTCCTTGACTCGCTGCCAACTTAAGCAAAAAGCCGCATCAATTCTAGATTAAATTGCTTATTTGTTCAGTTGTTTACACATTGACCAGCAAACATCATTATTTATTGTTTTTCAGTGAGAGGTCTCATTGGAAAGATTGTTAGCGCTTTTTTTAAAATCTGCCTTGGGACACTGCGTGCAAAATATTTCACCGTTAGGATTTTCAGAGAACAACTTCAAAAAAAGCACAATGGTGTGCCTTGAGTCACCATTTTATGTTCTTTCACTTTCCTGAAGACACTGATAAACATTGAAATGAACGGGTTGCCATAATTTGTAACAATCATTACGTTCACACCCGTAGAAACAGTCGTTAAATTACGGGAGGGCAATTTACAAATAGAGCACCATTAACTTAAAGGATATATAACTTGATAATAAGAGAGTTTCAATTTCTGAATAATACATATATGTTATTTGCCGGCCAGAGGTCGGTATTAGGAAAAACTGTAGGCGAGGTCTTGAGTACGGTCCGAGACCTGCGGCCGAGGGCCGTA